TGCTGTTGTTGCTGTTGTTGCTGCATTCGTGGTTAGCAATGTACTACAGGCCTAACTAACCTTGATGCCCTACTCCCTGAGCCCGGACAACTAACCTACTAAACCCCTTGCCCTCACTCAGAATAATTTTTGTACTTGTAATATAGATATAGAAGACCCCTCTGAAGTAGTAGCCCGATTATAGACTGTCACTGTATGTCGTCAGTTCCCAACCAAAAACCCCTAAACCCTAAACCCTAAACTTGCACTCGCAGATCGGGCGCAGACCTCTGCGGAGAGAAAGGCCACTACACTTTTAACCCTAAGCCTAAACCCTAAACCCTGAACCCTAAACCCTAAACCCTAAAACCCCTAAACCCTCACCCAAGCTCAGGTGGCAGCACCCTCTCTGCAAGTCGGCCATGGCACCAGCCGTCCGAGGCCACTTAGGGTTGTCCGGGTGTATTGTAGGTTTTCATGCAGAACCCGTAGGGTTTAGGGTATCGGCGTTTCGGGGTTTAGGGGTTTGGGGTTTAGGATTCAGGGGTTTGGGGCGTAGGGGTTTAGGGTTTAAGGTTCCAAAGGGCCCAAAGGGCCAAATAACCCACCAATCAGGTACTTAGGCTTATGTAGGCTGTTGTTTGGGAGAGTATCATAAAATCGCTAGGTACCTGGACCCGTAGGGGAAGGGTTCGGAGCACAGCAGTTCGGATTGATTGCAACATATGCAGTGCTTTTCTAAGTTCGTGCATTTTACAGAAACCCTGCATTGTTGAAGCTGCGCGTGATGTTGAACAATTCCCCGTAAACGCATCGTTTCTGGTGTATCAATCAGAGGTCTACAACAAGATGCGCACTCATGAGATTCTTCTCTTGCCTTGTGGTCTGGTTCAAAGCTATGTACCCTTATAGTCACCCCCATAGGTTCCTTATGGTAACCCTTTTATATCCCTGAACCCAGGGTTCATCGTAGCTTATGGCACAGACCCTCTCTCCCACCTCGCGTGGTGCATAGAAATTTCGCCCGGGATGTGTGTGTGTGTTTAAAACCCTTCAATCCTCAACCCCTGAACCTATCCCCCATTAAACCTGAAACTGGGAAGCATAAGGATTCCGGATCAAGAGACGACGTGCCCTGAGGCCCCAGCTCACGAAACCCACAAGGACAAAACTCACGACCGCGCGCTCCTTAACCATGCAGAACCCGAAGCCCGAAAGCCTAAGCCCACGCCATGAACCAAAGCCTCAACTTAGAGGTTCAAATCCTTAGTCAATGCTCTAGAAGGCACAATCCGACATCGTTGTGCTCAGCTGCATTTGCTGTGGTGGGCCATAGAAGCACTTTAGCCAATTGTGAGGTAGCACAACCACCGGTCTGTTTTTAGTGCCTAGGTGTGTTCGCGAGGTTACACGTTCCAAAAGTAAGTATACATTCTACGGGTCGGCCGTAGTGGAACGAACAAAGGGGCTCGAATAGTTAGCAATGCTATTCCTAGGGCTCGTTACTAGTATACAGACTCTAAAACCCCGAAACCCCCATTCTAATTCAGTTAGGAGAAGTCACAGAAGATTGTTATGGCTGGCAAGCTGGCAAACATTGCATCCCCACTCTCATCGCCTCGCCTCGCTGCAGCCATCTAGTGACGCTCCAAGAAATTTCTCATGTAGCTGATCCCCCTCTGCTCAAAAGAGCATGGACGCCATAAGCTCAGCGCCACGTCAGAGTGACCAGCTTCTGGTTGGATTCGGCTTAGTCGTGCTGACTTTCCATTTTCGCTACAACTACAGTGGCCTTCGGTGCTGGCTGGCGCAGGCCTCGCAGTTTAAAAATAAGACAGAGTGTTCGGTGGTCGACCCTGCGAGCCGCCATTCCCAAAGTGCATAATTTCATATAGCAACAGACCAAGCCACCATCCCCCCAAGTATAGACTTTAACGGTTTAGGGGTTTCCGAAGTTTCCTCTTTTGCGGATAATTTTGTTTATGGTTAGGAACCTATACAATAGGAAACCAAGGTAACCAACAAATAAATGGGTACTGCATGTTACGTTCTGGGTAAGCACGAAACTGCCTTTTCTCCAACTAACGACATCGGTTTTGCAACGACCAGTGGCGTAGTAAGTCTCGCTACAAGTACCTCGGCGAGGGTCATAAGTTTTGCTACTATAGGCGCAGTCATCCTAAACATTGCATACCTATCCTAAACCCCAAACCGATTTCTTGATCTTCTCAGCAGCTGGGGGGCTCAGGGAGAGACATGTTTCGGGGTGGGGGTAATATAGGGGCGTAAATAATTAACCATATTATGTGGGGGGGGGGGGGGGTTCCTTTCTATGATTATGGTATAATTTACCTCAAAACCCTATTCTAATGATTACGGCTTCTGCATCAAACGTGAAGAAACATGTGGACTAGCCGCATCGCTGCTGCCTTGTCCAGGCTGGATCTATGCAGGCAATGATGTTCAGATGTTCAACGCCGTGACATCTGCGGCTGCTTGCTGTGAGCTTTGCAACAGCTGCTTGGACACATCCCCATACCAGGACCAAATTCCAGAAGCCTACAATCCTAAACCCGCGGGCACAGTGGCTTCCTTGTAACGGGAGACGGCAAATAGCAATTGCGAAGCAGGTAGCCCGTCACTACCGGTGATGATTATGACGATGATGATGATGATGATGCAGACAGTACCGGTTGTGATGATGATGGTGGTGATGATGTTGAAGAAGCAGAAGTAGGATGATGATGATTATGATGATGATGATGATGGTCATGATGGCGACATTGGTGTTGATCAGCAGTATAATTAAAATTGATGTTCGTTGTTGCGTTGTTTCGTATTTTCATCAAGAGCACACTAGTCAATAGTCGTCGGCATGCTCGCTAGTCGTCTCCTTCATTGTTATTCGCCGGTTAGTGGCAGCATGAAAGCTCGCTTTAGTACCATGAACCTTGCCATCCTTCCAATGATCACGGCCATCAAGTTCATTCATCGTCCCCACAAGCACCATGCTGGAACTCAACTATCATCATACCGATCACCACTATCCGTGTCTTGACAGCCGTGGATCGTCGGCCTCAGCAGCAAAGTCATCACCACAAATTGCACAGGTTGTTCTGTTGTTCTCGGCTGCAGTCTCGAGTTTCCGCCGAAACCCCCGAGTTTAGGGTTTAGGTTTTAGGGTTTAAGCCCCGAAGTCTGAACCTACAAAACGCGCGTCCGACAATGTGACTGCTCCATAATTCCTCGAGGCAACGAAAACTGCCGCTTTTGGACGTGGTCGCGCGAGGAGAGCCACAAGGACGACCGCCAAGATGCATGCATGATGTATGTATGTGTGTAGTATGTCTGAGTGTACGTATGTATGTATGCATGTATGTATGCATGTATGTATGTACGCCGCATAAACCCAAAAAGCCCTCGAAACCTTCAAACTCCAAACTCCGAAGCGCTGTAATGTTCCCTAAACCCTGACGCCCTAAACTCTAAACCCTATACCCTAAACAATATATACCCTAAACCCTATATACCCTAAGCCTTAAACCCTAAAGCCCGAAACCCCTAATTCGACCCTAAAGCCCTAAACCCTAAACCCTAATTAAACCCTAAAGCCCTAAGCCCTAAACCCTAAACCCTGATCAAACCCTAAAGCCCGAAAGCCCTAAGCCCTAAACCCTAAACCCTAATTCAACCCTAACGCCCTAAGCCCTAAACCCCAAACCCAACCCTAAAGCCCTACAGCCCTAAACCCTGTAAACCCTAATTAAACCCTCAAGCCCTAAAGCCCTAAACCCTAAACCCTAATTCAACCCTAAAGCCCTCAACCCTAAACCCTAATTCAACCCTGAAGCCCTAAAGCCCTAAGCCCCAAACCCTAAACCCTAATTCAACCCTAAAGCCCTAAAGCCCTCAGCCACCATGCATCTTGGCAGGAGCTCTGCTGGATCAAGGCAGGGGTTCGGGCCAGGGTCTCCTGGGCTCAAAGTGCGGTTTAGGGTTTAGGGTTTAGGGTTTACGAGTTTCGGGTTTAGGGTTTAAGGGTAGGGTTTAGGGTTTAGGGTTTAGGGTTTAGGGTTTAGGGTTCAGGGTTTAGGGTTTAGGGTTTAGGGTTTCGGGTTTCGGGTTTCGGGTGTAGGTAGGATTTAGGGTTTAGGTTTTAGGGTTTAGGTTTAGGATTTAGAGTTCAGGGTTTCGGTTTTGGGGTTCACGGGTAGGATTTAGGGCTTAGGGTTCAGGGCTCACGGTGCAGTTGTTTTTCTAGTTCCTCAGGGGGTTATTGGGTTATAGGTTTCTTGATATGGAGTCCTAAGCGGGCTCCTAAACCCTGAACCGTAAACCCCTAAGCCCTGAACCCTAAACTCTAACCCCCTAAACCCTAAACCCTAAACCCTAAACCCTAAACCCTAAACCCCTAAACCCCTAAACCCCTAAACCCCTAAACCCCTAAACCATAAAGCCCTAAACCCTAAGCCCTAAGCCCTACACCCTAACCCTAGACCCTAAACCCTAAACCCCTAAACCCATGCACCCCTAAACCCCAGGCCCGGGGGTTGCACCACGGGGTGAAGTGTAACAGGATGGGGCCTTGGGGTTTCCTTCAAGGTACCCTTGTTCAGGGTCTAGGGTTTATAAGTGGGGATCCTTACTATAAGGCTACCTTCAACTTAGTTCTCCATTACCCAACCTTTATATAAAACTTTTTGGTTTCTTATAATTTAGTGGAAAGTTTCACCTTTCACTTCCCTGGCTTCTTAGGGGAAGTAAGTCAAGGGATCTGTATGGGTTTAGGAGATTCAGAGCTCCCGGTTTGAGGATTCATATTTTTGGTAGTAGGGGACCTGCCAAAGTCGTGCGGATTCAGACCTAAACCCTAAACCCTAAACCCTAAACTCTAAACCCTAAACCCTAAACCCTAAACTCTAAACTCTAATCCTTAAACCCTAAACCCCAAAGATCTGAGGATTCAGACGTCGGGTCGAGGGGTCCGCTGCTTTCACCAAACCCAAGTCGGAAGCTCCCAAACTTTTTCAGTTTAGGCTTTGGGCTTTAGGGTTTAGGGTTTAGGGTTCATGGTCTAGGCTTCAGAGTTTAAGGTTCAGGCTTCAGTGTTTCGGTTTCAGAGTTTAGGGTTTAGGCTTCAGAGTTTAGGCTTAGGGTTCAGGCTTTAGGGTTTCGGTTTCAGAGTTTAGGCTTAGGGTTCAGGCTTTAGGGTTTCGGTTTCAGAGTTTAGGGTTTAGGGTTCAGGGTTTAGGGTTTCGGGTTGTGGGGCCATCTGGGGAGTATTTGGAAAATCGATCGCTTTGATCGCCTCCCATAAAGAAAGGCTCCGTGGAACCTTTTACGCCATGGGCGATCCAGACTATTACAAACAAGCTTGCCGGCAACAACTTCAAGCCTTAAACTGACCTCCAGTAAGAAGAGAACCCTAAACTGT